TATATATATATATATATATATATATATATATATATATATAAAATTTTATTGAATATATTTTATAATATAAATTTGGTTAATAATAGATTACTCTATTTCTACAAAAAAAAAAAACATTTTAGGTTAAAAGTATTCACCACTCAAAGGGTTAATAATTTTTACAGGTAGAATCAACCCACTACCAATACGATTGTATCCACTTTTTAGGATACACACACCTCTTCGCATAGTTCAGTAATTTTTTATTGTTCTTTTTTTGATTGGTAAATATAGTGTATGATAATTATTAAATTATTTATTTAAGATTCAATGAAAATTTCCTTTAATTATCCTTTCGTAATATTTTACTCGATTCAAACACAAGTATAATATTCATTTACATACGTGTAATATTATATATTATACGTTATAGATTTTTAGATTTTGGTTACATTTAATGGATTTAAATTTCTTATTTCATTTTTTTATTTATTACTTCTATTATTATTTTGTTTTCTGGTTGGGTTAGAGGTGGAGGCTTGAGAGGTGGGGGGAGGGGTCTTTATATATATAATCGTATGTATTTTTTTATTTGGTGGGGGGGATTTTTCTTCAACATTATTCTCATCCATTTAATTTTTTACTCATATATATATATATATATATACTCACATGTTAACTAATTTAGAATTATGCACAGGCCATACATTCCACATATATATACATAGATGTATATACGTACAAGTACCTAATCTCTCGGTTTTTTTTTTTTATTTTATAATGCGTTACTTACGTCGGATGAAGTTTTGTGTATATTGTAAAACTTCATATAATTGACAGTTAGTTGAAGTGTTCCAAAGTCAGTCACTCAAGGTACAAGTTTTATATTCTACATTAAAGTATATATATATGTAATATATATAATATCTATATATATAATATAATATATAATATACATATATAATATATATAATATCTATCATTATAATTATAATTATTTTCATCATAACAATTCTAATAATAATAACAATATTATTATTATTATTATTATGTGTAATAGTATTATATATATTTTTATTATTGTAATAATAAATAATATATATATTATATATTATATTATATACTATATTATAATATATTAATAATAATATAAATAATATATTTTATTATTATTTTTAATATTATATATTATTATTATTATTATTATTATTATTATTATTATTATTATTATTAT